CCTAACTGGGTGCCTGTCCATGCCGGTGTTGTACCCAATTCTGATCCCCTGCCAGATTATTACCCCCCTAGTATTGGTAGATTTAGGAGTAGGTGTGGGCGAGGGGTTAGGATTAGGCAATCAGGTAGCGACTTCAACGAGGGGGGTAATAATTTGGCAGAAGGTCGAAATTGGGCACAACACAGGTAACCGGGTGCTGCTTTATCAAGTCCTTTGCAGGAATTGTGTTTAGTGTACGCAACCCGCAAAGTCCTAAGCACAGACTCGCCGAATGAAGCTTCACAAAGAAACTTCACTTGCCCATCGGTATTGAACCCACCTTTCCGTTCTAAAGTTACAGACACTCAGAATTCAGAAACAGAATTCCACTAATAAATGAGACTGAAGGCACAAATTTTTAGAACACGTGTCATTGTGACGTCACTGAGACTGGCTGTGTGTATTTGACCGTTTAGGCGTGCCACTTTTGGGAGTAGCGAAAGGAAACTTCCTGAACTAATCATTGATGGTATCAAACTATTCTCTCCTCACTGTAATAATAAAAATATTAGATTAATGTTTCAGTCTAAATATAAAATCTCTCCTAGTGTAATGAGTCATTTGTTCATTGATTCCATTCTGTCCTCTTGTGTTTATTCTCTCTGTGTATGTGAATGTGCATGTTTGTGTCCTTGTGATAATTTGCTGGAGGCTGCAATTGGTTCTTCTCACCTGATCCAGATATAACGACCCCCCCAAACACTCAACCTGTGCCATTGTGTGACTTTGTTGCTCATTGCCTTTGCTGTTTTGCTGTCATCGTTTGTTTAAGTCTTAGAGTGTCTTACCAGAGAGATTGTGAGTGTGATTTCAACCTGTGATATTTCTTTTTAACTTGACCCACGCCTGATTGACTACAATTTTGGATTCTGATTTTGAACTGTTAGCTATCGTCTTGTATATATCTTTTGTAAATACTTTGTAAATACATTTTTGGCAAGTTAAGGGATGTTTTGAACATCTTTTCACACTGTTTTTGGTTTAGGGAGTCGGGTAAGTTTAAACTGTATTTGGTTTTCTTTAATTTTGGTTTAGGAAGTGTAGAAGGTAAAAAAAAATAATGTTTGTTATTTTGGCCTTGTCTGCCCCTGATGCAAAACCCTTATTTGTAAATAAAGCCCTTGTTATTCAGCATCTCTCTGGTACTGAGACTCTCTTCCTTTTCCTGTTATGGCTGACCCCTAGCAGTTGTAACACCTAGAGGGACATTTTTTGGAATGCACGGATATCTGATATTAATTGGAAAGAGACTCGGTTAAATCCATATAAATTTTGTATTTTGAACAAAGTTGAAGATGTACACTTTAAAATACTAAACACAAAATTTACCCATGTAATGTATCTTTATCAATTTATGAACAATGACAACAACTGCACTTCTTGTGCTATACATGAGGAAGATTTGGATAAATATGTTTCATACCTGTTAAATTTTTGGTCTGACATTAGTTCTTTTTTTATTTGCCCCAAGAAATGTTAATTATATGCTGTCTCTAAAAGATGTTATATGCTCCTACACACACAGAAGCAAAATGTTTGAGTATGTTGTCAATTTCTATATTTGTTGAGAAAATCTTTAATGTTAGTAAATAACAAAATAATGACACATTGCTCAATTTTATGGAGAAATTTGCACAGTAATGCCCTCGCAATACATTACCAAGTATTTTGGTTCTTGAATCTGTCTTCAGGAAAAAGTAAGAAAATTAGTTAATTGTTGTTAAATTTTGGCTTTTGTTTTGTTTTATTTATTTGTTTATCTTCTGTAGACTTTCTGGTTTATTTTTGTGTCGCATAACAGAAGACAAAGGCTATGCGTTTCCATGTTCCGCTCGGAGCGTGAGCACAGAAAGCATCCTGTCAATAGCAGATTTAGTTCTCTTTCGCGCTTATTGCACTTGATTAATTATTAATAATTTTAAACTGTCCCACTCACTGAAAGCTGCGCTGATTATCATACACAAATACGACATATTTATAGGACATAAAAAAATCTGTGCAGCAAAAGTATGTGGTAAAATGTCTCTTAGCACAGCAGAGCACCAGTTCAGTAAAAGGATACGTTTCAGGCAGTCATACTTTTTACATACTGTTAAATTTCTGCTGCTGTTCTAATAAACTTTCTTTTCGTCATTACTGTAAATAAGCTATTGCTGCTTGAATCTGAGTGAAGGAGTTTGCAGCTGATTGCTGTCGAGACACTTGTGATTTATTATTATTATAAATTTTTCATTAACTTCTGTACAGCAGAGGAGTTGTAATTGGTTGTTTTTATGCAGAAAACTAGTGATGTGTCTACTTTTTTTTTATCGATAATTTCTTTGTAAAGGTGAGAGACCAGGCGAGCCACATGATTTCTGTCAAAGATCCAGGTGTGGAATGATGTGTTGTCGGATTCAGTGACCCTACTATATATGTAAAGCTGTTCGCAACAGACCAAAATGCTTTCTAGGATAGATAAAATACAGGAGGTTAGACATCACTAACAAGAAATTAGCTAACATTAAAACCATTTTGTGTGAAATGAAGGGGGGTAACAGATTTTGGCAACTTCTAATGTTGACTGATTCTGTGATCCTGCTGTATAGCTAATGCTGTTCACATCAGGCAAAAATGCTTTCTATGATATAAAACACAGAATATTGGTAACATTAAAGCCATTATGTGTGAAATAGAGAGAGGTAACGGACGTAACCTCTAAAGCTGCCTTGTCAGATTCGGTGACCCTGCTGTATATCCGCAGCTGTTCACATCAGGCAAAAATGCTGTCTGGGATATAAAATATAAGAGAAAAGACAACAGCAGAGTGAATTTAAATAACATTACAGCCAATGTGTATTAAATAAAGGTGGGGGTGGGGGTGACATATTTCAGTAACTTATGTGCGATTTAGTGACCCTGCTGTACTGTACTGTATATCTATCTGTAGCTGTTCACATCAGACAAAGTGCTTTAGGCTATACAGGAGGTTAGCCATCACCAGAAAGAATCCGGGTAACATTAAAGCCACTATGTCAGTGGTTCTCAAACCTGTCCTGGAGTACCCCCAGCCCTGCACATGTTGTATGTCTCCCTCATCTATCACACCTGATTCAACTCATCAGCTCATTAGTGGAGACTGCAAGACCTGAAGTGGGTG